CAGAGGTGGGAAGAGGAGTGGAGGAAGGACACGCGTAGAGGACATCGCTGTCTGATAAGAGTGGTCTACAGGAATGGTACGCCTGACAGAACTGGAGCCAGGTTCCCTGCGTGACCCCCAGCCTGCTGTCTTTTGAAGATGTTCTGGGGCTTTCTGTGAGCTAAAGCCCAGCCAGATCCAGCTGGAGGTTCCTGAGAGAGGCTTCAACCAAGAGTCTCCACCAAGGCTGCCTCCTTTGCTTTGCTGTCCCTGTGAATATCAGGGAGCACACAGTCAGGAGCCCCCTAGAGCCCCTCCCAGCTGGTGCCCCCATCCTCCAGCTGCTGCAAGGGTGGGCTGTTAGTGGCCTACACCTGCACCCTCCTCAATCGCTGTTGGCGTACAAGCATGGTCCTGCACAGAGAGGCCCAGGGGCTGTGCCTCCTTGCCCTCCACCCCAGCCCAGGGCAGCGGAAAGTGAGGACTGAGTGACGTGAGGGTGCGGGTCAAAATCGGTAGATGCAATTCCTGTTGCAGAGACCGGGGCCCTGGGGTCAGACCAGGGCTGGACTGCTCTGGAACCCATGTCTGTGCTCAGCATCATCCTTAGTCTTAGCCCGTTTTCCGCATTGTACACGATTTTCCAAGAGCACTCCCTGGGTAAATCACGCGCCTGAGAACTCCCGCCTCAGACGCTGCCTCTAGGGACCCTGATCCAAGACAGATATCGGTCAGGAATCCCTAAAACACCCACCCACTGTGACTCACAGACACTGATGGCAGTGCACGGCAGGATGGGCCCCCTGAGCGAGCAAACGCCAGTCCCAGGTAAAGCTGCTCCCCACTCCACCTGCCTGCACACAGCGGCGTAGCCGAGGTCAACATCCATGGGTTTGCTGAAATTCCCATAAGTGCTCGGAGACCCCTGCCTGTCCTCCTTCTTCCCTGCCCCTACTCGACCACTGCGTGGAGTGAGCATTAATGGCAGAGTACCGCGCCAACTCGTGGGCCTTGGAGCCCGAAGGTGAGGCTTTGCATCTCAGCTCTGCCGCGGACTAGCTCGAGTGACCCGGGGCAGCTTATTTAAATTCCGGTGCTTCAGTTTTCTCTTCTGTAAAATGGCTGTAATATTAATACATATCTCACAGGGCTGTTGGGAAAATTAAATCTAATACATACGACTTGTTTTAAAACAGTGTGTACAGAAAGTGCTCCATAATATTAGCTGTTACTCTGAGTTGCTGAGTCTGCTAATAGGAATCAGAGCATGTTACGGGCCTGGCATGGCACCCCTGTTCAAAAAGGACACTGAGGCACAGAGGTTCCGTGACCATACCCGGTTGCACTTGGACACTCTGTAGAACTAAAAGGAGGCCCCCAGTTCAGGGCTCCCTGGAGAGGGCTTCTCCTTGATTCCGACACCCTCCCAGGGCACCCAGCGCTGGCCCAGGCGCCTGGTCAGGAAGAGCTAAGGGGCTGGCCTCCCCAGAACACGGAAGCTGGCCGACCCAGCAGGGGGCAGTTTTCCGGATGCTTGGAGCCCGCGGTCTCATGTTCTCCTGTTTTCTCCAGAGCAGCCTGGGGTCTAACTGCGGGGCCCGAGCCCCTGGACAGGAGTGTGTGTGGCCTGAGCCTACAGTGTGGACGCGTGGCCGCAGCAGCGCCGTTACCATTCTGTCGTCATTCCCGAAGAGCACGAGTCCGGCTTTGGTGACCAGCCCCGGCCGATGGGCTCCCGGGATGGGCAGCGCTTCTCCCTCGGGTACCAGGCCCGTGGTGTTCAGCGTTGAGTTGAAAAACGTCAGTTTCTGTCGAGGACAGGAAAACCAAAAGAAGATGGTGGCTGGGAAGAAGCCCCATGCCGGCAGCCAGGCAGGGCTGAGCAGAGCTCGGGGGACAAGGGGCCGGGACAGCGGCAGCAGCAGAGCACAGCTCCGACAACTCTGCCTCCAGGGACACAGACAAGACCCGGAGGAGCCTCGGCGGCTCAGGGAGCCCTCAAACTCCGTGTACCCCAGGCCCTTTGTACGGCTGTGGCCTCAGACCTCAGGTGGACAGACATCAGGAGAAAATCTGCTTAAGGCATCATGGAGTGAGGACACTTGCCCTGGGGATATCACCAAGCACCAGTCACTTTGCAAAGGGTCTTGTGGCAAGGGCAGCAGAGAGATTCCCAAGACACAGACTGGGCAGTTGGTCAGTGGTCAGGGGTTTGGACAATGCAGGGCTTCGTAGCGGACAGGACTGCCCTCCATGGAGCACAGATGAAGGTCCCTGCTCACAGTCCTGCCAGCCCCTGATGTCTCACAAGAGCCTGTGAGCCCCGGGGCTCCCCGTCTTCAGCATCTGGCCTGCCCACTGCTCAGTCCCTATTCTGAGCATGCTGCCCTTCCCCCTTGGGGGGCCAAGTCAGAGCTGGACTTGGGGTCTCTGTGAGCCTAGGGGTGAGAGTCAAAATATTTTACAACCAATACAGCTCAACCCCAGGGTTGCTGCAGGCCTGAAGGCCTCGAGCTGTGCTGGACCTTTACCCTTCAGCCGCCAGGGTATCTGACGGATGGTAGATAGGTCTCATGGCCCTGGGGGAGGGGCCAAAGTGGCTGGGGGCACTTGAGTGGGGCTGGGGGTCAGGGCAGCGGTGACTTGCCAACCAGCTCAAACATATTTTGATAGTTTTGCAGCCAGTGGGGCACACCAGTGCACCCAGCCCAATCCCTGCCATGCACGAACACACCTGCCCACAGGCCTCTGTCCAGGCACCTGGCACCTTGTCATTCCCGCGGATCCAGTTATGAATGGCCTCTGCTGGCTGCTCCCAGTTGATCTGTGGACAGAACGTGTGTGCTCAGCTGGTCTCAGCCCACTTCCTGAACATCTGGACAACACCTCTGCCCTCCCCTGCCTTCCCCTCCTGCCTTGCTAACCCCTGGACAGTGGGTGGAGCCCAGGGGAGGGCACTGGGAAGTCCACTTCCAATCAGACACAAGTCTGAGTCCTGAACTGGGCTGCGCCTCTCCCTGGTGCCCCAGTTCTGGGGGTTCTGACCCCCAGTCTTTCACCGGTAGGGTAAACTTCAGGATGGTTTGGGGAAGATAATGTTCTGTTGTTGTTAAGATGGCCAAGGCCCTACACAGAGCCCCAGCACAAAGCACAGGCCCATCCCCTGGGCCCCCCAACAGGTTCTCCTCACCTACGGGGCTCACATAGACCCCCACAGAGCACCCATTAGCCCTGAGCAGAGATACAGCCCATAGGCCCCCAAGGCTCCCCTCCCTGTGACAGCTCCATGGAACTGATTCTCTCTTGTGCCTCATCTTAGAGACTTCTGGCACTATAGCTGATTTTCACATTCCTCATCCCCCAGCTCTTCTCCCTGGGGCCCTGCCTGCCCATTCCTCCTAAAGAGGAACAGGGAGGAGCCGGATGGACCCGGCTCCCTGCCAGTCTAGGTGCCACATGCCTCCTCCTCCACGGCTCTGCTCATGCGTCCCCCACCTGGGCTGCCCTCTCCTCTGGCCGTAAACAATCACAGCCTGACCACCCAGTCTCAACTCCAGCTTTCCCAGGACGTCCTCTGCACGCCAGCTCTGCACAGGCAGGCTTCAGGGTGGGCAGGGCCCTGGCACTCACCTTGGCTGTTTCCTTCTTCTGAATGCCCTCATAGGTGGCTCCTTCCTCCGGCTGAGGGAGTCTGGGGGCTCTGCCCTCAGCGATCAGCCTCACAGCCTGCACCTGGGGAGACCTGGTCAGTTGGCATCCCCAGCATTTGGACCCTCCCCTTACTCCTGGCCCCTGGGTTCACAGTGAGTCTGGACCCTCCCCACCCTGACCAGACTTGCCCAGCACCACCCCTGGCACACAACAGGCCCCCGAGAGAGATCTGCCTGAATCTAACTCCAACCTGTACAATGGGCGCAAAACTCACCTTCTCTCCCATGCTAGGTTTTAGAATATTATATAGAAGATCTTAGATCTTCTGAGATCTTAGAAGATTATATAAACTACAGAGCCCTGTACAGGTATAACACACACACAAATTTCCATGTTTTTATCTAACACCTTCCCTGTCTTTTAAGGAGAATGGATGCTGAGCCCTGGGATGGGTTTGGAGGTCTGAGATTAAGCAGGAAGCAGTTTCTCTGTTAAAAAGAAGAGGAAGGTTGTGGCGGAAGGAACCAGGGCAGAAGGAGAGCCCGGGAGCCCAGCCCACTGTAACGGAGGGCCTGTGGGGAGCGCGCCCAGAAACACTGGGCTGAGAAGTGATGCGAGTGTCAGAAATGTGGAGCAGGACCGCAGTGGAGTGCTCTGTGGTGACGGACACATTCTACATCTGCTCTGTCCAACACACTGCCATCAGCTGCGGGTAGTTACTGGGGACTTGGAATGCAGCGAGTGAGACTGAGGAATTCAATTTTTAATTAGAATTTATTTTAATTAATTGAATAGCCTCCAGTGACTAGCAGCTGCCATATTGGACAGCGCAGCCCTAAAGGGTGTTTTCAGTAGTTTCAGTGGGATGTGCAAGATAACCAACTTTTCTGTCTCTCATTTCAGATCTCCAGCATGTCTATTTTGCTCACCCCTTTTGTGAGAAAATGGATTCCGTGGGAGATAATACAAAGAGGCAACTAGTTGAACACAGCCTGAAAAATGAAAGGCAGCTGGTAGGAGATAGGAGCCGAGGGCAAGGGGCAGCTGACACCCGCGCAGGGGGGCATTTTTACGTCAGTGTTATGCTTATGGCTACACCCAGACAGTGAATGCTCTCCTCCTGGAGACTTGTTCCTGTCTGACTCCTGCCTGCTGCTGGAATCAATGAGAAGCTCGAATGTGTCTGCCTTTGGCCATCACTGGCTGGCCTCCTCCCCCTGGACCACCAGCAGCCCCAGAGACACACCAACCCCTATGGGGTCAGGTCCCATGAGGCCTGCCTAACTGTCTCTGAATCAGTCATTCTCGACTGTCCTCCTCTGGTAACAGAACGCTCCCTTCTGCAGAGAACTCAGCCCACGCAACTACAACTGGGCCACCCTTCCCCAAGGGCCACAGCAGGAAGCATGTGACTGAGGCTGGCCAATCAGAGTACCCCAGCATCCTGGCCAGTGATTGGCTCGGGGTGATCACATGACCTAAGATCAGCCAATCAGGGTCTTTTCTGATTTTTCATTCATGAGAAAGAGGGTTTCTCTTCCACTAGAATCAAGAGATATAAGCTTCGAGCTACCAGTGACTCTTTCCTCCCATTTGAGAGCAGCCAACCTGAGGATGAAGCTAATCAAACAGAAAAGTAGAATCGAAGGCTGAAGAAACAGAGAGAAGTAGAATCCTAGCAACATGGCTTAAGCCTCTGGACCCAGCCATGCTTGATGCCATCCCTGCCTTTAGTCTCCTCTATTAAATGAGCCCAAAACATCCCCTTTTTGGCTAAAGCTTTTTGAGTTGAGTTCTGTCATTGTATACAAAAGTCTCGCCTAGTATATTATATGCCCTAATCCTGCCTCTTTGAAACCCTGAAATGAGAGTGCTCTCTCTCCAGAATCCTGGAATTGGGGAACAGATTCCTGGCCAGCTCCGGGGCAGCAGGCTGGGCCTAGAGAGGGCGCTGGGACAGAGAGGCCCTGTGGGCACATGTGGCATGGCCGGCTCCCTGCCCTTACCATCCCTTTGACGCCTTCCGGGAAGAGGAAGCGGTTGTACAGAGTGCTCACGGTGTCATCTGGGAGGATCTCGCACTCCTTCTGGAGCAGAAGGTCCCCAGTATCCAGACCATCGTCCGCCCAGAAGATGGTAAACCCCCCTTTTTTGTCTCCGTGAATAAGGGTCCTAGGGAGGAGAAGAGGGTGAGAAGAGGCAAACCCTGAGTCCAGGAGGAAGGACGCCCTAGGGGCAGCCCCTGTGGCCCCTGCCACCCTCCAGCACACCCCCTTCTCACCCCACCCCCAGGCAGGAGCAATACCTGCTCTGGCAAGAGCTGGAAGGAGAAGGAAAATGGTATTTATTGACACTAACCATGTGCCAGGTACTGTGCTAAAAGCCCTATATGCTTTTTGTAACTTAATCCTCACAACAGGTGTAAGTCTCCCCTTTTACAGATGAGGAAACTGAGGCCCAGAGAGGTGAAGATGTGCCAGAGGTCAGGGAGCTTGAATTCCAGTCTGACTACAAACCCACTGTCTCCTCCCAGCTCAGATGTCTCCCCTCCTGACCACCCATCAGACATACCATGCTGTTTAGTCACATGTCACTGAACAACGGAAATATGTTCTGAGAAATGAGTTAGGCGATTTCACAGTTGTGCAAACATCACTGAGTGTACTGAAGGGGAACAAAATTTGCCTTTCCCAAATGTGTCTCTTTAATATGAGGATGACTTTAGGCTGATTATTTTTAAGAAACAAAAGACTTTGCAAGTTTTTCTTGTTACCTTCCTCTTAACTGCCTAAAAGAATGCAGATAAAGAAACCTGTCTCAGGAGGCGGGCTCTCACCTCAGCATCTCATGAACTGGGTAGTAGACAGGGAGGACCCTAGAAAAGCCTGTTTGTTGGGCTCCCCTCTGTGTTCTTCTGCTTCTATGTGGCCAAACACTTGCTTTCCAAACGTTTGCTCCTTTTCACCTACCTGTGAATTGCCTTCCTTCCCTTTGAAGTCCCTGACTCTTCCCCACCCCTAACATCTTCTTTTGTCTTTAGCTGAGGATGGTATTGAAGGTGTGGGCTTCGCCCATTTTGGCAAGTTACTCAGTTTTATTGGCTTTCTCCCATGCATACATGTTATTAAACTTTTGTTTGTTTTTCTCCTGTTAGTCTGTCTCATGTCAATTTAATTCTTGGACCAGCCAGAAGAACCTAGAAGCATAGAGGAAAATTTCTTTCTCCCCTACGGCACTTACACAAACCTAGATGGTATAGCCACACCTAGGCTATGTGGTACTAATCCTATGGGACCACTGTTGTATATGCCGTCTGTCATTGACGGAAACATTGTCAAGCATCGTCACGGCACACGATGGTATTCTCCTTTAAGAACTTATTATCTCAGACTATCTGGTTCAGGTGATCCTAGACTCCATCTCTATCTCCTTCCAAGTGGGGTGCTGCTGAGAGTACAGCAGCAGATGCAGGTCAGAGCAGGCCTCTGGGCACACTGCCTGGGTTGGTGCCCCCAGCAGCCTCCTGGGTGCCCTCAGGCGAACCCCTTAACCTGCCCCGTCCCAGTGGTCCCCGCTGCAGGATGGGAACACTGACTTGCTCGCTTCGAAGTTTGCTGTGGGAATGCAGAGTGCCTGGTGATGCCTGTCCCCCATTTTTTGCCCTGTCTCACCAGTTGATGGCCGAGGCCCCTCGGTGCCGGGGGAGCAGACTTGGGTGGTAGATGATGGAGCCATGGCAGGGGGCGCTGATGACCTCCATGGGGATGAACTGGCTGCAGAAGGGCAGGACGTTGAGCTCAGCGCCCAAAGCCTGGTATTTCGCCACCACGTCGGGCAGAGCCTGTCCTCTCGTCCGCCAGCGGGGAAACTTGAACACTGGCACTCCATCCTTCTCGGCCTCTAGGCCTGTGGGACAGCAGGTGAGAAACTGGCCCCTCCTTGCACTCACCCACACACGGCCACCACTGCCTTCCCAGCACAGTGGCTCCTGGACCTTCTCTCCAGGCCTGTCCTTCCTCCCCTCCCCTGCTGCCCCACCAGGCTCCACTGGGCAGCACAGCGGGGCAGCACCAGCTGAGGGTGAGGTCTGAGGGACTGCTCTGCCTGGACTGACTTCTGCCGACTGCCCAGACGTCTGCGCGCCTCCCCTCCTAGACCCTGGTGACACTGACGGCGGACCCCTTCACCTCCTGCTGCTCCTGCAGCCTCGCCATGCTGGTCACCACGTTAGTGTCTCTCCACCCTTCTACTGGTCTCTGGGGTGGCGCCTGGGACCCTGCAAACTGCATATCTGCCTCGTCAGCTGCTCCCTGTTAAGTGCTGCCAATAAGAGCAGCTCGAGGGAGACTGAAAGGCTGAGGGAGAAGGGGAGAGAAGAGGGTGGAGGGGCTCCTCCTTTCTGTAGGGCTCCTGTCCTGTGAGCATCATTTTGGCCTCACCTCTTCACCCCAGTGGCAGCAGTGCCTTCCCAGAGCAGCGGCTGAATCCGTTTGCAGTTTTCCCAGTATCTGCAGAACTAGCCTCAATGTACAGCCCCCCACCGTGTCTGCACTCCAAGGTCCAGCTCCCAGCCTACAAGGGCCCCTCTTCCCACCCAGTTACCGGCACCCATGAGCAGCCCTCCTCACAGGGCTGAATTACAGCCCCCCAAGCTTCCAAATTTTAGTAGTTACAGCTCCTTCCCTCTGTTTCTCCAGGCTTGGAGGTGGCAGCTGCCTCCTGTGGTCACTACCCCGCTACCTGACAGTTCTCTTTTGCCTGCCCCTCCTCAGCACCGAACAAACACTTCCTTGTACTCGGTTCTTTGTTAGAACGCCTGGCGTGATGTCTGGCCCCCGAATGGACCTGACCCATTCTCTGGCCCCTCTGGCTCTGTGCCCTGCATTCAGGGGTGTTGAGGGAGGGTGGGATCAATGTGAGCAGACTGGACTGTGCTTGCAAAAGTTTTCCCCTCTGTGACAAGGGAATATTTCTGCAGGACATCTGAGGTCAAGGTCAAGTAGTGGCCCCAGCCAGGCTCTGTCTGGGTCCAGGCTCAGAGGCTGGTGTCAGTGGTCACTTAGTGCCTAGGGGCAGGGCTCAGGCTGTAGTGGGCTCAGGCTGTGTCACGGGTCACACTGGGGTCAAGTCTGAGACTGAGGCCTGGCTGGCATTGGGGCTGTGCTGGAGCTGAGTCCAGGGTCAGCCTGCACTTCTAGATCTGGAAAGACTCACTCTGCCTTATGAACCAAACCCTTGTGCCTGGCCAGCCTCGTGAGGCTCCTTTCCTGATCTGGCCTTCCGTCCTTCAGCCGGCCCCACATTCTGCATCCATCAGGCCTGAGAAGGACTCGTGAGTGTCCCTGAATGGCTGTTCATCTGAGCTGAGGCCCCTGCATCCTGCTGTGCTGCTGGGTTTCCCAGCTCAGAGGCTAGTGATTCTCAACCTGTGCTCCCCCTAGTGCCAGGGGTGTCAGCATCACCCCGGAAACTTGCTAGAAATGCAAATTCTCAGGCCCCACCCCATCCCTCTGAACAGAAATGCCCAGGGTGGGACTCAGCACTCTATGTCACAGGCCTCCTAGTGACGGGGATGTGCTCACGTCCGAGAATGCTGACCCACAGTGACTCCTGCCTGCCAGCCCTTTCAGAGCCTGGGTGCTGGGGTCAGAGAAGCCTGGAGTGGTCAGACAGCTGGGCCCTGGGAGAAACCTGGGCTTCTCCATGGCCCTTTTCCAGGACACAAACCCCATCCCATGATCGGCAAGGAGGGGGTCTCCACTTTGTTCCAGAAAAGCCCGGCAGCCAGTTGGCACCCGAGCAGGATTCAAGGTGGACTACGTACAGCTGCCTCCAGCCAGGAATGCCCACGACCCCTCCACAAGACCCTGCAGGCTTCTGCTCCCGCCCACTGCCCACTGCTACCCGCCTGCCTGGGCACGCCTTTTCTCTGCTCCCGGGCCACCCACTCACCCAGAGGATCCGCCTTCCCATCTTTGTCTGGGACCGTGAACACGCCCACGACCTCATGGCCCTCCTTCCTCAGGTGGCAGTAAACTTCCTGGCCGAACAGGCTCTGCCCGATCACTGCGATCTTCATGGCAGCAGGTGAATCAGAGGACCTGGGGAAGGAAGAAGGCCACAGTGTTCCAGAGGGCTCCCTGGCCTTGGGAGCTGGCCCTGGTCCGAGTAGGGGCAGCTGCACAGCCCTCGCCTGCCCTGCTCCTGCCCAACCCCTTGGGGCCACCTCTGGAGCTCCATGGGTGGTAGGCATCTGCAGGGAGATTGCCACTGTGAAGGTTCTCAATGCGGGATGTTAGATGGCGCAGTGGGTGCATCAGCTGGTGACTGTCGATTGTGGGATTCCTCCTTGAAGCCCTCCCAACTGGCGTGGAACGCTGGGTATAAGTCCTCTGAGATAGATTTGAGCATATTTCTGTAACCAACCAATTCTGTGACCACACATCAAGTCACATCAAGCCTGAGTTCCCTCATTTTGAATGAGAAAGATGCCACATTCCTCAAATGGCTTTGAGCCTACAAGGCCAGGTTATTGCCCTGAGCCAGGGAGCAGCAGGGGGCCGGAGCGCCTGCCCACTTGGGCCTCATGGAAGAGGGTGCCTGGGTGGACAGGCCCTGAGCACTGAAGCTGGGGCAGGAAGTGGAATGGGGTGCCCTGGCCTGGCCAAGAAGGAAGATGTACTGAGTGACACATAGCTAGATTATGCAAATATCTCCCAAGCTTGGTCATTCATTTGCTGTACTCACATCTGTAAAACCTGTTATTCACGTGTATATGTCCTTAAATTGTCCATTTACAAAAATACACATATTTTTTGGAAAATTTAATTAAAGTATTACATACTTCATACACACAAAAAAGTGCACAAATTATAGGTGTGTAGCTCAATGAATTTTCACAAACTGAACACACCCCTGTAATCAGCACTCAGAGGAGAAATGCTGCGGAAGCCCCCTTGAGACTCTTCCATTCACTACCCCAACTACGAGTAACCAGACTTTGAACAACATTGAATAGTTTTGCCTACCATTTTCTTTATTTTATATATATTCGATTCATGTAAATGGATTCATACAGTGTAATGTTTTATGGATTTTTTTCTGACAGCATTATAGATGCTGTTGCACGTGGTTGTACTGTGTTCATTCTCATTGCTGCATAGTATTTCATCGTATCAATGTAAATAAATACATTTATTTATCCATTCTACTGTGGATGGACATTTGGGTAGTTTTCAGTTTAAGGCTATTACCAACAGGGATACTGCAAAGATTCTGCCATGTGGTTCTTACTGAATATATGTTCACATTCTGTTGTGTTTGTACCCAGGAGTGGAATTCCTGGCCACAGGTATGAAAGTCTTCAGCCTCGGCAGATTCTGGTGGTTGTACCAATTTCCACTTCCATGTGCTCTGCATCATGGCCTTGTGTCATGCTCATTTTGCTATTTTGCTATGACAGATACTTGTCTCACTGGGGTTTAATTTGCAATTCCCTGGTGACTAATGAAGCTGAGCATGTTTTCCTGTGTTTATTGGCCATTTAGAGATTTTTTTGTGGGAATTGCCTCTTCAAGTCTTTTGTCTGTTTTTTCCATTGGGTGGTCTTTTCCTTACTGATTTGCAGGAGGATTGTTTTTTTGTTCATTTCTTTTTGTTTTGTTTTGTTTCTAAGCAATTTAGACTGAGTCCTTTGTCAGATATGTTTATGGAAAATATCTTCTCCAATTCTGTGGCTTGCCTTTTTCACTCTGTCATGGTGTCTTTTGATGAACACAAGTTTTTAAACTCGATATGCTATACTTTATCAAAATTTCCCTTTACGGTTAGTGGTTTTTGTACTTTACTTGAGGAATCTTTGCCTAGTCCAAGTTCATGGGGATGTTCTCTCTGTCTTCTAAAATCTTTTTTTGTTTGACAAAGGAGCAAAGACTATCCAATGGAATGGAAAAGATAGTTTTTCAATGAATGGTGCTGGAACAACTGGACATACACATGCAAAAAAACAAAAACAAAAACAAAAACGAATCTAGGCACAGACCATACATCCTTCACAAAAATTAACTCAAAATGGATCACAGACCTAAATATAAAACACAAAACTATAAAACTGCTAGAAGATAACACAGGAGAAAACCTAGGTGACCTTGGGTATGCACTGACTTTTTAGATACAACACCTAAGGCAGGATTCATGAAAGAAAACACTGATAAGCTGAATGTCATTAAGATTAAAAACTTCTGTTCTATGAAAGACATTGTCAAGAGAATGAGAAGACAAGCCACTGACTGGGAGAAGATGTTTGCAAAAGACACATCTGATAAAAAACTTTTACCCAAAATATACAGAGAACTCTTAAAACTCAACAATAAGAAAACATTAAAAAATGCACCAAAGACCTTAACAGACACCTCACCAAAGATGATATACAGATGAAAAATAAGCATATGAAAAGATGCTCCACATCATATGTCATCAGGAAAATGCAAATTAAAACAACAATGAGATACTACACACCCATTAGAATGGCCAAATCCAGAACAATGACCACACCAAATGCTGGCCAGGATGTGGAGCAACAGCAACTCTCATTCACTGCTGATGGGGGTGCAAAAATGGTACAGCCACTTTGGAAGACAGTTTGGCAGTTTCTTACAAAACTAAACATTCTCATACAGTATGATCCAGCAATCACACTCCTTACCCAAAGGAGTCGAAAACTTATGTGCACACAAAAACCCACACACAGATGTTTACAGCAGCTTTTTCATGATTACCAAAACTGGGAAGCAACCAAAATGTCCTTCAGTGGGTGAGATAAATAAACTGCGGTACATCTAGACAATGGTACATTATTCATTGCTAAAAAGAAACAAGCCATCAAGCCGTGAAAAGATATAGAGGAAACTTAAATGCGTATCACTAAGTGAAAGAATCCAATCTGAAAAAGACTACTTACTGTATGATTCCAACTATAGGACATTCTGGAAAAGGTGAAACTATGGAGACAGTGAAAAGACAGTGGTTACCAGCAGGAGTTGGGGTGGGGGAGGGATGAATAGGAGGAGAACAGAGGATTTTTAGGGCAGTGACAATACTCTGTATGATACCATAATGATGGATACATGTCATTATACATGTGTCCAAACCCATTGAATGTACAACCCCCAGAGTGAACCTTGATGTAAACTACGGACTCTGGGTGATACTATTGTGTCAATGTACATTCAGCAATTGTAACAAATGTACCAGTCTGGTGGGAGGTGTTGATAATGGGAAGGCTGTGCATGAGTAGGGGTGGGGGTATACAAGAAATCTCTGTAACTTCCCCTTAATTTTGCTGTGAACTTAAAACTTCTCTAAAAAAATAAAGTCTTAATTTTAAAAAGGGAGAAGTTAGAAAAAAAATTCTATTGTTTTGCTTTTCATAGTTATATTTACAATCTTTCTGGAATTGTTTTTTGTGTACAGTGTGAGGTAGAAGTCCAGAAATATTTTTCCAGGACCATATATGGGTAAATCTATCTATGAACCTATATTCTGCTCCATTGTCAGTTTGTCCATCTTTATGTTTACTGTAGCTTTTAAAAAAAATTTGTTATAGTAGTAAAAGATACATAACATACAACTTGCCATGTTAACCATTTCTAAGTGTACAATTAGTGGTCTTATTTACATTCACAGAGTGTGCAAGCATTATGACTGACTATTTCCAAAACTATTTCATTACCCCAATGGAAACTTTGTATCTATTAAGCAATAACTTCCCATTCCCCACCATCACCAACAGCCCCTGTTAACCTGTAATCTACTTTTTGGCTCTGTAAATTTGCCTATTCTTGGTATCGCATGTAAGTAGAATTGTACAATATTTGTCCTTTTGTATCTGGCATATTGCACTTAGCATAATGCTTTCAAGTTTTAAACATGTTGTAGCATGCATCAGAACTTCATTCCTTTTTATTTTATGTTTTATTCCTTAAATATATATAATATATATATTTCCTTACGTTTTATCCCATATATATAGTGTATATATATTTCCTTGTGTGTGTGTGTATGTCTGTATACATCCATTTATCTGTTGATGCACACTTGGGCTTTTTCCACCTTTTGGCTCTTGTGAATAATGCTGCATTGAACATTGACATACAGGTATCTGTTTGAATCCTAGTTTTTTTAAACAGTGAAAAAATGGGTCAAAGACTTGAATAGACATTTCTCCAAAGAAGATAAACAAATGGCCAATAAGCACACGAAAAGATGCTCAACTTGATTAGTGAATCGGGAAATGCAAATCAAAACCACTTCACACCTACTAGGTGGGTCAGCCATAATTTTTTTAAAAAAAGGAAAAGGAAAATAAATGTTGACAAAGATGTGCAGAAATTGTAACCCTTATACTTTGCTAGCGGGAATGTAAAATGGTGCAGAAGCTGTGGAAAACAGTTCAGCAGTTCCTTAAAAAACTAAACATAAAATTACCATATTACGTAGCAATTCCACTCCTAAGTGTATACTTATTTTTTAATTGGGTTGTTTGTCTTTTTGTTATTGAGTTGTAGGAGTTCTTTATAGATTCTAAATATTAAAATCTTATCAGATATACAATTTGCAAATAGTTTATCCCATTCTGAAAGAGGTCTTTTCATTTTCTGGATGATGTTCTTTGATGCACAAAAGTTTTAATTTTGATGAAGTCTGATTTATCTATTTTTCTTTTGTTGCTCATGCTTTTGGTATCATATCTAAAATCCACTGCTGAATCCAAAGTCATGAAGATTTATCCCTATCTTTTCTTCTAAGTGTTTTACAGCTTTAGCTCTTATATTTAGGTCATTAACCCATTTTGAGTTAATTTTTTGTATATACTCGAGGCAGGGATCCTACTTCATTCTTTTTATTCTTCATTCTTCATTCTTTTTCTGTGGAAATAGAGTTGTCCCAGCAACATTTATGGAAGATACTATTCTTTTCCCATTTAGCGGATTTGTCAAAAATCAATTATCATAGATGTAAGGTCTATTTCTGGATTCTCAGTTCTATTCCATTGATCTACATGTCTATCCTTATGCCAGTACCACACTGTTTTGATTGCTGTA